AACATCAACCAAATCTTCTTCCTGCAAGAAAACAGACAATTTGCAACAAAACACTTACTTTGGTTACTGTTTTTAAACTTATTAATAAGCAGCTTTGACAGGTTAGTATGACAGTCACAGTTTACATTTTTACTACTACAAAAAAGAAAAAGAACTACAGACACTATACACACCTGGAACTTCAATGAATCTGATATCCGAAGAAGAATTTGTAATGCATCATTACTTGTCTTACTTTTTTCTAGTAGTCCTACATATGCAGCAGCAGAACTACCAGAAATTAATTTCTTCACAAGGCGAAGTTTTTTAAAAGGTTTCGGCTGTTCCTAAAGAAAACATCTGAGTTGTAAGAATCATGTTCAACATAGTTGTATTTCTATTTAACCATACAAATTGTGGATACAAAAAATATTTCAAAACCATCATAAGACACACAATCGCAATTCATGGCATCAAATTGTACCTGTATAACTTGGCTATATTCAGCAAGAGCTCTCTTCTTTAGCAACGCTGCCATTATAAAGGATTCTCTTTCACATTACCAAAAAGGATCCATGTATATATTGTACTGTAATGTCCGGCCTGAATTCAAGATCGGAAAGCAACCAGGTATGGTAGGGTACACAATTGATGTTAATTTAATTTACGGCTTTCAGCACAGACGTTTAAGACGTTATCTGCGGGTTGTGACTCAGTGTAGTCGAGTTACTGACGTTTCGGAGGAACGTATCACCACCGTCATCAATGATTTTTGGATTGCCTTTAACCTCACTACCAGCCACTGATTTACCGGACGTCAGAAATCTCATTATTACCACTACACGAATATTTATTATTTTATCTAACGGTGCACAGATGTTGTTAGTCATGCAGAGTCATTATAGTAAAACGAATCTTCGTGGAAACACTGATTGTTGACCAACATTGATCTAGTATCTGTGACAATTTTCAGCACCCATTTGTAGAATATGACGCGCGACTTCAAATCTCTAAGCAAAAAAATCATACACAAGAAGTGGAGTTAAACAGTTTGAGTGTACAACAGCATATTACAATCCATAATAATGTCCTTAATATTGACTTATGTAGTATTAGCTTTCACTGTTATTGTACCCAGTATTATAAATACTTTTTCTCTGTTTTACAGAAATTGTTATGAACCATGCATAAATATTATGACTTCAGGAATATAGACAGTGTTTCAATAACACTGGTTTTCATATTAATTATAACAGTAATCTATATACTAAACAACTTTACAGCACTTCTCAGGAAGGAATGTAGTGCAGATGAAGGTAATACTCAAATTTTCACATGCAAAATGTCCCATTTTGCAATAATGAGTGGCATATTGTGTTAAATTATATAAGACTGTATGAGTGATTTAGGCTGAACTTATATTTTATCTGATTTAACCAATATACAAACAATGATGTATTATTTAAGCAATATACTTCTACAGGTTGTCTTGGAGTCAGAATTGAAAGTTACGGAGAGGCAGTGCTTGAATATTCACCTAAATGTGCTAACATAATTGATGAAATTCACTTTATTGCCACTGTAAGTAATTCCAGGTTGATTTGTTCATAACTGATAGTATTTGAGGTTCTCATGCAGTGAGTATAAAGATGGCTGTTTCTGTGTTTTAGAGCAATGTAATCTAGTGGAAGTTTACAGAGGTTTCTCTTATAGAGCCAAATATATACAAATAAACTATGTATTTAATGACTATATCAAATTATATGTTTCTTTACAACTTATAAGAACACAAATTAAAAGTAAATATGATTAAATTAATTAACTATGTATATGCATTAGGAATCCGTTTAATGAAAATATCACTCCCATAGTCGATATATAGAAAAATGTGAATAGAATTTTCAGAAAATAATTGTTTACACCATTGGTATTCAACCTTTTTTGTTCGCGTACCCCCAGATATAATTCTCTTCAATTTTGTACCCCCAAAGTTATTGGTGTATAATTCAAGTTATACATAGTATGTAATCTACATCTAAAATAAATTAAATTACATTACTGATTATTCAGTGTTTATCATAATTTTTTTTTAAAAAAAAAAATTTCACGTACCCCAGGTTGAATACCACTGATTTACACCAAAGAAAAACTAGTACCTTTACACATTCTAATCACTTATATGATTGAGCCTAACAGCACATTAAGTAGTATGATAGAAGTGTCTGAATATAAGGTTCTCAAAGCACTACAAAAGCTTCGTTTCAATGTATTCTGTTTACAGAGACTGCATCTAAAATTTTATGAAGAAAAGTGCATTGCATTGCTCAAAGAGTATCCAGAAGCTGTCAATTCTCCTAAACTTCCATTAATGTATACTCCATTTCTGGTAAGAGAAGAAGTTATAAATTTGAATTTGTTTGATGTGAAGTTTACAATGAAGTGGTCCAGTTTCCAAATCTAACTGGTACATATGCCATTCATAGTTATTGTTTTAAATCCTAGTCAGTAATGAAAAGTATTTTATTAAGTAGTAAATGTAAAATCCTAGCAGTGGTAGAAACTAATTAGAAGCTCGTAACTTACTGGTCAAAAGTATCTTGTATCTATAACTATTTGCTCTCCACCAGACAGAAAGATAACATAATATTATGAACCTTTATCATAGCGAGAATTTTTTGATTATATTTACAGAGGGCTTGTTGGTGTGGAAATGCTAGAGTTGTTGAATACATGCTTAAAAATGGTGAGTTATCACTTTCCAAGTACATTTCTGATTTCTAATAAATATAGGAAAAACAGATTGAGGGCAAATGTACTTAACACCACAATACTGTTTTAAATACATTCAGGTGCTGACATCACTTCCTGTACAAATGATGGGGACACACCGATGTTCTTGGCAGTTTATAGCGCTATCAAGAAGTCATATGCATATGATCCAGCCTGCATCAATATACTATACAATTCAGGTATTTTATTGATACAAAAAAATCTGACATTTTTACACGATCTGTCAAGTGCTTTGAGAATGGACAGAAACCACTTCCGCAACCGATTTTGTTCATTTTGCATAAAATTTATTAAAAACAAAAATATCCCTTTATGTTACCATCATTTTCTTTCATTTTTGTTCTCATATAAAGTGAAGGAAGGAAAAGAGGAATGCTAGGTTGGTTAAATGAAAGGAATGGAAAAGGCAAAGAAGAGATAATGCTATTAAAGGGATAAAACAATAGAGTGAGATTAAAATGTTAAATAATCATCCACTGAATTTCAAAAGGCCATTCACACTACTACATCTATAATTATCAATTCTAACAGTTTGATAAATGTAACATACTTTTTTCAGGTTGCAATATCAATGCACCGAAGTCTCATGGCTACACTCCCCTTCATCTGGCTGCCAAGGCTGGCAATGCGGATCTTGTTCGCTGGCTTCTTGTACATGGCGCTGATCCAGACAGAGTCACTAAGTGTAATAAGAAACCAGTCGATTTTGCCATAAAATATGGTATGGCATTTCATTAATTCGGAAGGGATTCTACCTGTTATAACTTCATGAAGTCCTGATTATTAATGTCAAATTCTGGTAACATATCTCCAGCTAGAGAAGGGATTTTCTACATGTCCACACCAGTTGAACTTCATGTTGTAACAGCATTTACCTGAAATGTTTACTGTTACTTTGTTCAAAAGAGTGCTGACTTCTTGACATCTGAGAGGTAGTTTCTCATCCAGACTATGGCATGTAAACGAAATCACGCAAATCATTTGTTTTAGTCTTTGATGTGCCAAGGAGAAAAACAATTCAAATCGAAACTTACAACTACTCTGAAGTAAAATGAGTAGTCACTGTTATACGATGTTATTACATCTTCATCTAACCCTAAAATAATAAACAAATTATTTAATTAATAGTAATATTCTTATTGCAGGCCACAAGAAGGTTGTTTCCTTGCTGACAGTCTGCACTGGTGATGAAACTCATCAACAAAGAACTTCGCCAGGATCACAAAAAATAAATTAAAACTACTGATTACAGTTTAACCCCTTGTTGGCACTTAAATGGGTATCTGCTCTGCCTGGGGTGGCCATATAAAATCTTCAATGCAAAAGTCCTATAGCATAGATAGATTTTATTTTTATTTTGAATCTTATGACAAAATTGAAATTATATATGGTCATCTGATCCAGAAGGCAGTGACCTGAATCTTACAAGAATAAAACTTGCCTGTAACATGTTGGCGACAACTGAAAATATAAAGTCTGTGTCACTAGTCACGAACCTGTCTGGATGTTGCCCGGTTTGGACACCACCGTAACACTCAAATCTATCTCAAAATTCCAATACAAGGGGTCAAGTATCGTAAAGCTAACATTAATTTCAATGCGACAAAGTTATACTATTGTACATACATTTAATCTTACTCTCTACATGAATCATTTAGTCAGAGTAAAATAGGGTTAATCTGGTATGTTAAAATTAGATTTTCTTTCAGGTTGTCCTCTGTTATAAGAATAAACTAATGTAAGTACTCTGAAATCAAATATTTGTGTTAAATTGTCTATTTGTTCCTGTTTTCTGTTATACACAACTTCAACTTGTACATTTTGCAATTTTACTCGTATTTCAAAGTATTCATGTAAGATGGAAAATTCCTTAAAACTGTCATTCTCTTGTTTTGTGAGAGTCCAAATTCTATTATAACATTTCCAGTCAGTCTTAGTTTGTATAAACATCAACTGTTTCCGTTTTTGCCGCAGTCTTCTTGTAATGCAGTTTCTCTGAATATGTCTTGTACACAAGACATGTCACACAGTTCAAATAATTATACCAGTGCACAGTGTTTTACCAGTTTGTTACGTATCATAGTTTTCCTTTAATGTGAAAAATTATTTTTCTACTGTTTCAGGCTGATTATGTAGTGCAATTTGTACACTGTTCTCTGTCTGATAAATATCTTTAAATACCATCTAATATAAAACCATATTCTAGGGTTCAGACACCCACACAATCAAAATAACATTTAAAATTCTGCCTTCAATTAACATAGTATTTATTTTGACAATATGTTTAGACACTTAAGTACATAAAATCTGAATCACAAACCATTTAGAGATCAAGTTATTAAATGAACTTAATCTGACTTCTTAATGTACAGTGTTCTACAATTCATGCACCAGGCACAAAGATCAAGGTACTCATTTTTGGGTGAAAAATGTCTTTTTTGCTGATGAGCAATTTCCAAAACAAGTAATGGGTCTTTATCAGTTGGAAAATTCACTTCATGGAATAAACTACAAATCCATTAAGTTAAGATATTTTGGAATGTTCTCAAAAATTTACCTACTTCTGATTTCACATTTTTTAGAATAAACTTACCAAAATACTTATTGCACAAGTCCATGTCAATGCCAGAGAAAATTACTGTAAATGGATTTCATCCCAATTGCAGAAATACACTGTTCATGAAACTATATAATCATACCATGTAATGTAGATGTGTAATGATGGATAAAAATACACATTTTAAGACATGTTCAACAGAATTCAGTTACGCCAATACTAGTTGGGATGACACATAAAACATTTGACTTGCAATGATTCTTGTGTAATGACAACTTTGGCCTATGATCTAACACACATGTGTATATATATAAAAAATTGAATTATTTCACTGCAAAATTTGAAGTAAGAAAGACATGTCCTCATCAAATTATTATTACCTTTTGGCACACTTAAGTCACATGCGCCAATTATCCATACTATGATCTGGTTCAGGGGAAATACTGACCATGATTATTATTACTTGCATATGCAGTACTATATTTAAAATATGCAATAACACTGTCAAACAGCTATTTAAAAACTACATACAAAAATAATTTAATTACCATCCTAATTGCCACAGCCAAAATACTGAGTTCATTACCTATTGCCATTGGAGCCACAGAAAGCTGCTTACAGAAAACATACAAACATATCAACAATGTCTAGAAACAAGCAACTTCAAATTATATATTTCATGTCATAAAAACATTTTGGTACAAGGATGGCTGTATTCTGTAGTCTGGTAGTTTATCAGCACCAAGGACCTACAAAACATTGGTATATTTCTACTGGACTACATTGTGTGACAACCCAGAAGACAGCCATCTTCATACTCGCCACCATGAGAAACTTGAATCTTACTACATTTTGGTACATTCCTTCCTCAAAAGTCAGGTTGCTCTTGAATCGCAACAGCAACAAGGTTCTTCTGTACCTCTGGTATACCCACATGTAGGAGTCTGCATGGGCCCAGACTTGAGTGAGATGTCATCTAATTTCAGATTTCCTCAGGCTGACAATGTTTCTTTGATTAAATACAATTTTTTAAAGGACAACTTACCGTATCATGTTGGTGTTCAATGTTAAGTAGTCTACTGATTGAAATAAGAATCTTTGTTGTTTGGTTTGTTCAAGTAATATTTAATGAGGTCACCATATTTTGCTTTTGACAGCCTATTTTATCAAAGACCTATATTTGATGTGTAAAGGAAATAATGCATTTTGTCACAGCAGATTCCCAGATCCAATAGCTGATACTCTTGATCTGAAATGAGTTAGTGTGGAATAAAGTGAGTTTCAATATGTATGAGTAACATACCAAAAGTAATCCCTGGGCTTGGACTATGAACATTTTAAAATTCCAGCCTATGCAGACCTCTACCAGTATGATTCAAGTAATGTAACTTTTTACATCAACGCACCTTTGTTACTGTGTCACCATAAGATTAATACTGTAGAATATACCAATCCAAAAAGATTTGAAACTGTTAATACAAATCCATGTATAGAATTAAAACACCAAATATCACCTTCATATATTAAACATACTTTATAATAAACTTGAACAATGAATTGGCAGTTTTTATGTATTTAAAATATAAAACCAAAGGAATCTTCTACATCATATTTTTAATGAGTTATACTGAACCTAAGGCATCTTATGTCACTTAATACAGACTGAGAAAGATTTGACGTCACGTGGCAAGCAGTCCTTATTTTAATAAGTCTTACATTGAGGCAATGCCTTAACATGGTCCACAGGACTTACTGCTAAACTCTTACAGTTGACACTGTAATGGAACATGTTCTTTAGTATCGCATTACAATGGAGCACATATTAGTCTCCTAATTAATCATACTGATTTAAAAACAGTACTTTTCTTAGTATTTAACACATATTTTCATTTATAAGAAGAGTAAGTTGTAAGAGAAGTCTCAAATTGTTATTTTCAATTACTTAATTTTTTTTTAAAATTACCATTCCTTGTATGCAGTGGAATCCAGCAGATAATATGGTCAGAACAGGGCACACAAATGACAGTATAATGAAAGCATCCTTATCACCAGATATGTGACAATCTTCGTTAAAATTTTTGAAATTCAAATATGGCATCTGCTTTAATACTTATGCGTAAAATTCTTTGTCAAAAGTGTAACAGCAATTCACCTTTTACTAGCTTTCTGTTCAGATGCTTTATAGCTTTACCAATTTTGCTTCTTAAGTAAATCATAAGGCACAATTGAGTTCATAAATCAAATCACAATGTTCTGGTCTCATTTTACCCAGTTCCCCAAATCAATTACTAACATAATCCTTTCAATTTATATCAAGACCACCTTACCAAATTAAAATTCATTATGAACATGTCACACTTTTAATACAGAGCCTCAGTATGAATGTATTGTGAGGTACAATTTAACATAAAATTCTACTGTATTACTATTAGATAAAGGATTTATATTTCAATCTGAAATTAATTTCATCATTGGCAAAATCTGATTTGCCAGCCTCCATCTTTTCTCTTAATATGTTGATTAAATCAAGACATCTAAATAAAAATTTTAAACAATTACTGAAATGTTTCAAATAATTATTAAGAACAGAAACATATATATTTTACAAGGAAATATCCCTGATAACATCAATGTACGCCATATACGAGCTTGCCAATAACTATCAAGCTGGCTTGTGCATTAGATTATACAGGTAACTCATGTTCTGTAACAATACAATGCTTTGTGGTCTGGTTGCAAGTGTTCAAAATAAGTATCTGTTGCTCTTAATGTACAAACTTCCAAAGTATCCAACAGCTTTAAGGAATAACCCTTAAATGGGAAAAAGATAACTATTTAACAATGTGAATGTATTTCTCAGTAAGATACCTTCAGGAGCCAACACATTCTACACAAGCTTTCTTAGACAGATGAGAATGTGACTCCATAAACTGGATAAATTCCATCGTGAAGATTAAATATTGATGTATACATTTGCCATCTTATGCAACATTTAAGGCCAGCTACCTGAACAAGACGGTAATAAACTGCACAATCAAAAAATTAAAATTATGGGTCAACCAAGAATTAAACTTCAAAATCAAACTGATTCGACAACTGTAATAAAGACAATTTGATTTTGATTTATAAACTGATTTACTTCAACCATCTGTGCAGCAAAACTAGGCTCAGTTATGACTCGCTACTCACAAAAGATTTAGTTTGCCATCTTTGTTACATATGCAGTATTATGAATACATATTAAAACTATTCTTCTGTGTTCAGAACAAATTTCACGTACAAAATTATTACCGTTATAATGCAGTACGCACACTTGTCACTTAAATAAAAAAAATCTATCTTCCGTCACTTTTTATGAGTTTATGGTATGCAAAGAGAAAGAAAATTTAAAACACAAACACTTCAATAATATTAACTGTATTTTGTCATTTTTAAAACCAAAATTAATTATTTTTTCTTTGTACTCATCTTCTAAAGCTGAAGGAGAAGAAAAAAGAAGCAATTTGTAACCTTAAAGATGGTGCACTGTAAAGAAAATTATACATTGTGGAGGATTCAATTTATTTCATGTTAACACACGAGGCAGAGCAAAACCGCAATGATACAAAACTGCCATCAAATAATGCAGTCAATGACATGCAGTTTTAGCAAAGATTTATTTATATTAATATGTTTCCGAATCTATTTATTTCTTTTAAAATGTTCTAACTTTTACAACATATTTTTTAAATCAATCAATCAACCATCAATCAATCAGAGGTGTACTCAAGCTTTGATCTAAAGTCAAATATAACATATAGAGGCAGTCAAGAAAAGAGAATAAAAATGTTAGACTTTAAAGAAAACCCAGCATCTAAATATACACTGAGGAAATATGTAGTCAACATGATTATTGAATCACAGTTTAGAATCAATAAACACACCTATGTCTTTGAGTTGCTATGGGTTACCAGAGGATTACTTCTGCCAACAGGATCTATGTGTTGTCTAAAGTGAAGAAAACACCTGGAGGTGTAGATAGAATCTCTCTTGAATTTGGAATAATAATGACAAGTAGCCTGAGACAGCCCACACTTCCGGTCAAAACAAGAGGTGCTGAAATGAGAATAACTCAAAAATGTTGTGACCAGATGGTTTTCCAAAAAATTAAAGTAATTAGTAATAACTTCAGGCTTATTATCAGCGGGAAAGTATTGTCAATTATACTGAAACATATTGATATTTTAAACATTTTTCAGTATTATCAAACATAAATAAAATAAAAGTATTTGCAACAAGTGTATTATACTGCTATAATTAAAGGCAAAAATAAATTGTTTTATATACTTTAGATCTGCAACACACTTTTCTACCAACTGTTTTCATAAAGAACAGTTAATACCAAATGTACCTGAATACTGAATGCTGTACTTCTGAATGGTGAAAACTTGTTCTGTAGCGTTGGATCCTTGGTTTACAGACTTAGTTCAAAAAAGATATTCTGAAACAGGAAGCATTTTCTATTCCATAACGTACCATTCATACTGACATCCGAAGTTCCTTGCAGTCCATCTGTTTAAGCAATTTACAGATAGCTCTGCTACAGTAAATAAAATGTCAAATACTCACTGCGGTAAGCACAATCATTGCTTATTCGCTTTTTGCTCATATAAGCCCAAGCAGCATAATTAACTGCCTGAGAATAACAATAATAATAATAATGGCGGCATTATTCAATACGACTATAATTTCTTCTTAAGTACAAAATTCACATGGCTTTCAGTTCACATACATATAAACAAAGAAATTTATCATTTCAAGTACAAAATATTATGGCTTATTAAAGCCGACAATCTCAATCAGACCAGCTTCTGGAAGCCAATCTCAATTTAGTACTTTTCCGCAAAGAAACAACTGAAATAAATGTCCCATATAATGTAATACAGGAGATTAAACTTGTGTACTTTAGATTTTCCTAACCTGCTCTGGTCAGAATTATGCTACTGAAATTACTGCAATGTAAATATTATGCAGTGAATGAAACTGGAATTTTATTTAGAATTCTGTAATTTCTTTACAGAGAATGGCACTTTAAACCAACCCAACTACCAACAACTGAACTCTGCAAGGCACAACAGTGGAACAGTGCTTCAATATGGCCGTTGCATGATGGTAGCTGAGCAAGGCAAACATAAACTTTACTGTTGAGGCTGATTAGAAGAGTAAGTTGGCCTTCCGGCCAGTTCCAATAAATACCGGTCAGGATGATCAACCCATTCATCTGCTGTCAACTTAACTTTCCGTAGTTTCTCCGTCTGTTTCACCTCCCACTTCTTGACATCCAATTGAACTTCTCTGTAACAAATGTATTCAACATTTTAATGATTTAAACTATGAACATTTTAATAAGTTGGGGTAGCTCAGTCAGTATGTCTGACTTCATAATGGACTACTGGGGCTTGATCACCAGAAGGGCAAATGATTTTTCTTGTAGCCTGTGTTAAAAACTAGCTCTGGGACCCACCTAATCAACAATCCAGTAGGTACTGTGGGTCCTTTCCCCAGGAGTAAAGCAGGGTGTGATACAGACCACTCAACCACACTTAGTCCTGGGGTCATGACTGAGTAAGGCCTATACCTTCACTCCCAGCAAGTGCTTCCATGCCTCAGAGCGATAAAGCTTTACTTTAAAGATATTTGTATTGCATCCATACTATGATAAAAAAAGATATAACAAGTGACGAACCTTGACTGTTGACTACCACAGCCCCAAACCTGTACATTGATCAGAGGATATGGAATGGCCCGGTAGGTCACTACAGTGAACCCATCATCCACCTCTATGATTGGTTTACGGGGATCAAGTCCTGCCCGCAGGCCTTTTGGATAGCCACGTATATTATTGTTCAGGTACATCATCTTGGCACCACCTGGAACACCACGTTATTTCACAAAGTTTGTCATCAAAGAGCTCTGGTGAAGACACCAGCTGAATGTAGACACAAAGTGAAAGCGTAATATCTTATTAATTATAACTGTTGGATACCAGGTCATATAGGCATAGTGACTCACTCACCTGTGGGTTCCATACTCTGCAGGCTTGGTAAACGACTAGAGGGTCCTAGCTATTAACATCTGACGGGAAGAAACATTTTTAATTTCTACCATTCCAACATTTACAGTAGGCAGAAATTGCACAGGTAACATGCCAGATGGATAAAACTAAATGGAAAATTTTACATTCTACTTTTAAAACAAGTCAATCCTTGTTAGTGTCACTCCTTGCCCACCACCAATATTGATATTAAGGTGCACTGTCAGTGAAATGAACCTCTTTTTTTCTATCTGGGAACATTTTCTTTTCTTAATGTATGTATTAAACTGCCACATAATGTGAAAAATGTAGTTAGGAATTGTGGGCATAAGAAAATGCAAAATTGTGGAGTACATATCTGTACCATCTTATACAGTGAGTGGTCGGTTACTGACCGTGATGGTGCACTGATCTAAACTGCATTGGTCTACACATACATGCATGCATAGCCAAGTGTCACTCAATTTTGCACCAGTTTTACCAACACATCACCTGACTACAGTGACTGCGAAAAACCAGAAATGCCAGTGTCTAATGTGATGATGGATGACCTGTATTAGAAATGTTAACAATGGCACATCTAATAGAAAATTTGTGTAACTGCATATTTTACAGAGATTTTATAAACAAGATTCCCTAAGTCTAAATGTTTTTAATGATGGTACACTATACAAACATGATAATTACTATGGACGTTGGCCATCATCACTTTTTTGAGCATAGCGTTTTGGAAACTGAACCCGTTTTCATCATTACAAATCAGGGAGGAAGGTTTCTACTCAGCTGGATCCCTTGTATAGATAAGCCTCGATTCCAGGAATCCAATTGACTATAAACCTTCATTCCATTACCGGATCACAGAAGAAAAAGAACTTGATTCCAAAATCTGCTTTGAAAAACCTACAACGGACAATATCAAATATAATTATCATGTCTGAAACATCTAAAAGTAATTTTCATAACAAAATTATCAGTTTGAAAAGTATATAAAAGAACGGCCTCTAATTTCATCAAAAATACCAAACACATTAAATCAACATTCTTTCCACCACACCAAAATGGCATAAGAAACACTTACGCTCCACAATATTATAAAGTGGTAATATTTGTATCAAAGCACAATCTTCTCCTCCCCAATACTGGTGTGATTCTTGCCACTCACAACTTGCTGCGATGCAGAACTGCACTCCTTCCTGACCCCGCAGGAAGGTAAGCGTTGGTCCACGGTAACCAAACACATGATGCATGAATCTACCAATAAAATTAAGAAAAATTTAACAAAAATCATAGAGATATATCTGCAGGAACCCATCCCAAGAACATAATAATGTAAGTTGCACAAAACTTCCTTTTGTATATCAAATTCTCAGCTCAATTAAATTTATTTCTATAAGAAAAGTGTATATAAAATGTAATCATACATGTGTTACCTTATGTTTACAACCAGGTAGTAAATCTATGAATGAAGAAAAGTTGGCTGTAGAAAATGATTACAAGTGAAAATCAAATAAAGGCTTCCTATGACGAAGATCAAACGATAATGTCAACATTTATCATGTTATTCTAGTCAATAAAATCCTCTCAGGCAATCATCCATGTCAGTTGGTTAACCAACTGATGCAGCTGATTACCTGAGAAGACTTTATTAAGTTTAGTCATTGCAAAATTTCAAATCATACATCTAATTTCGGTGTTTGTTAGTATAAATCTGATGTTTCACTGAATAAATAATGAAGCAAATACGAGAATGTGGGTTTCCCGCATTTACTGACAGTTATCCTTCACAAACTACCTCACATTTAAAATGTTTCATATAGACGAATAAAAAAATTGAAAGAACATTTTTCAGACATTTCTGTTACCAACGTGAAATTTCTAGGTCAACAAAACATGACAACTGAAGTAACAAAAGTTTCAAGCGAGTGTATCCAAAATGGACAAAAGAACTGCGTAAATACACAAGGCTTCCACTTAGGAACCGAAAAAAATTGCATTAACAAATTATTATAAATCTACTCCAGTAAATTAGTCTATACTGTAATGCAGCAGCAAGCAACAGTAGGCTATGAAATAAATATTTTAATCGAATAACCACTTTCATTAATAGTTTATTACAAACATGCTGTCAGGAGAAATACCAATGAGTATATTTTAAAATATGTCATCTGAATTTGAATCAAGAAAAAGTTTATTCAGGGCACTCAGAATTAAGCACAACATGTTACATCTGTCAGGAAAAGTCTTGGTGATGACAGTTTCAAAACCGTAATGCATGACAACAGCAAAAACATAAATCAGAACAGCATCTTATATAATATGCAAAGCTGCATTTTGTGTTCTTGAATTAAGTTGACATAAGGCCACGAGTCTCGTGTAAAAGTAAAACTATCCTACTGCATGCTATGGAGGTGCTTGAGGGGAGAGGCGTAATAGCTTCTACTTGTTCTTGACTTCGGTACTAGATGGAGGTAAGTGGTCAGTGTCATGCCATGGCCATGCTTTACGACCAGGGAAAGGACCTCCAGTATCCTTGGGACAGGAGGCCCCAGAGCCAGTCTGAATGCTAAGGCTGTGAGAAAAACCCTTTATCTTTACTGTCAATCGAACACCAGTCCTACATTTCAGTCAGACATTGAACTGACCCTCTACTCTGGCTGATGTGACTAATTAACTATGACATCAACAGGTAATACACAACCAATGACACTGTGATATAAGAGTTAACAGTTCCAACACTGCAGTACAATATATGTATAAAGCATTGAAGTGCCCTTACATTTCATGTGGACATTACGTCTCAAAAACATTTTATTGCAACATGCGTAACAATAAAATTCTTTGTTGCCTAACTTCCTATATCATTCTTTTATGAGTTTAAATGAATACGCAAAGAGCATGTTTTAGTAAATGTATTTCAGATACTTGAGACGTGGCCTACCATGCACCATTCTTAGATCTCTAAACATCCAGACATAATGCAGACAAATGTAAGATTCATTCAGGGATAATCACGCATATATCTCTGCACCAGAACATAATAGTAGTATGTACCACTGAAAGTTATAGCAGAGTGGTTAGCACTCATCTTTCAAATTCAGGAAATCCTGGGTTCAAATTGCAAACAGGAAACCAGCTATCCAGATTAAGGGATTTATTGGTTATCAGTCTCTCCAGCCAAATGCCCAGATATTACCTTAAATTAGGACATGATCCTTTTAGATTTGTAACAATTCATTAATCTTACTGCTTCATTTGATGCTGTTTTTGTCTGAGCAACTGACAGCATTATTAAACAAACAAATAAATAAAACAGTTGCATATATCCCCTGCTGAGCATAAATATATGAAAATTATATTTGTACAGGAACACACAATGGCTAAGGAGAAAAAGTTCATGTTGGCTAATCAAGAAAACAATCTTACTCTAAATATTCACACTGGGGCTAACAACTTTGGGTCCTTCTTAACTGTGAAGAGGACAGTGACTTAACTTATGAATCACATCTGTAGGAGGTAAATCAAGATGACTTATCTAGGACAAAGGGGCTAGATCTACAGCCAGTCACCTTTCCCTAGCGTTCAACAATGCAAATTTTTCTGAAACAATCGCAAACCTGCAAACCAAAACATGATGTCATCAGCCAAAAGTAGAAACACAAATCCCAAGTTCTGTTAAATTATCAGCGACCATTAGGATGCAGTGCTGAAAACTGTGGCAGAGCCTACTTGCCTGTTTGCTCCTAGACCATGTTGGTCGCTGTTATAAAGCAGGGTCCAGTGGGACGGACAGATGGAACCCAGCTGAAATATACAAACAGCCTACCAATCAGCTAGTCTAATTAAACTAAAATCTTCTTGGTAATAGGATAATTCACTGAATGAAATAAAATCTGGCTACAATTCAATAACAATAAAGACAAAACAATACAAAAGGGTTGCCAGAAGTAGAAGAAGAAGCAAACAAGTACATTTACATATGAAATCTAAACTTTTCATGGCCCTGAAAATATGGATTGCGGGCTTCTGGGTTATGATACTATAATCTAGTATGTGATTACCAACTTTTTTTATAAGATACGATACATGACAAACTACTCACAAAGAACTTCTTTCATCGAAGTGACACCTTTTAAGGCTGAGTGGTAATTATATGTATCACCAGCTTTAACATTTTGCCCACAGAGTGTATTTATGGATTTCAAATTATTCCATCCTAAATGTAGAAGTTTGTCTCATCATTACTGTTATGTTATTAAATTTAGTTACGCAAGAATGTGAATTAATCTGGATCAACATACAGTCAATGGCAGGCTCTTGTGAATGTACATGGTTCCATAAAAAGGTAGCTTCATTAGGTTCTCAAAGGGAATTCTGCATCAAGGGGTTAGTTGCTTTATAAAGTTTCCTATTTCCTGTATTTATGTTAATCTCAAATCTCTTTAAGACTCTTACATAAATATTTCACTGCATTATGAATCTTGACAGAACTGTGTGTTTGTACAAAGAGAAACAGCTAGATCATAATAACACAACAGAGTCCATGCAGATCAATCTGACCATATATAAACCATTCCACTTATCAAATTTTCTTCTTCTCTTAGAATACAGTAGAGAAGTCAATAAAGTGAATGTGAAAGTAGCAAAACATTAAAGACAGCCATCTTCAGACTACTGTCACAAAAACCTCAAATTCTACATAGCAAAACATTCAACTATAAAAAAGTATCATCTTGTGTGCAACAACTTTAAATTGAACAGACACTAAGTTTTCTGTAACACATATTGCTGACCAAGTAAATGAAATAAATGTTTTCAGTAATTGTAGAAAAATTAAAATTTTAAACAAGACTAACCCGACACTGTGTAACACCTGTTACTTGTTCACAGATCAGAATAATATACGCAATATAATAAAGGAATTAGTAAAATCTTCTCGGGCTATCAGCTGTGTCAAATGGTGAGAACTCACTAACATTTCAGGGACCAATTCTATCCCCATCATCAGGGAATGTGGTGTTATACATCAGATGCCCTGACAATGATCTCTAAAATGTCTGTGAACTTTCACCATTTCACAGAGTTGACAGAACAAGAGGATTTTAATAATTTCGTACAATGTAAAAGTTTCAGCTAAAACAATATGAAGGAAGTATGGAGAGGACAAGGAAGTGATAAATCACAATATATGGATGCTCATATAACCGAGGCCAAGACACATTCACCTTCAGAATTCACAGACAAAGACTGATCCCACTTTCGAATCAAGCTACCAGAGTCTCATACTATTTCAAAGTTCACACACAATTGTCTGAACGTAAAAAGCATTTGTAAGTCTCATAAAAAGAATGAATCAACAACACAAACAAATTATTATGACCAAGAACAATATGAAAGACCATACCCAACTTTCAATAAAATTAAGACAAAACAAGAAGATGAGAAGAAGGCAGGAATATACAAGTCGATAAACAGAAGCAATGGAGTCAAGCAACATGGTATATGACTCTCAGCTATTTCTACATAAAAATAAATAAATACAATATTTTGACATGAAACCTTCATTAGAATAAAGATACTGAAGATGTCCTCAGCAAGAAATTCATACAAACTAAAGCATAAGACATTTCTGTCAGTCAATAACACGCATAAAGCAACAAACTTTACGCTACTGCTTGATCACTACAATTTTAAAAAGACCAAGAATGTAAGAAACTTATGAGTTACTTTGCAAGATACCACACAATTATATTAAAAACTGATCTTCTCGGTTGTAACACCACGTGGACTTCAAAGTAGATACCAACATTTGTCTCCATCTTCAGGACTTCAACTACACATGGCATTACAATCTAGTAAACCAACATCAGTATCTTCACCAATCTGAGAACTTCAAATCTCACATCTGCCAACATAAATTTTTAACGACCCACTGTCACCTTTTATAATCAGGAACAGATTCCTCACAATAACTCATAGAAAAGTAACATGAGACAGACTGTAAAAATTCTTGAGAATGTTTCCTTCACATTACATTCATATTTTCAGGTCCCAAGTGTATTTTCACAGTACTATCTAACTAACTAGATGGCTTACCGAACCCAAAGGTTCATCACCGAATTAACCAAAGCCCTCCACCGGACCCTGGCCTGGGCCAACAAAATCCAGTCTCCTTCAACTCCTATCTCCCATAGATCCCACCTGACATTATCCTCCCATCTACGTCTAGGTCTCCCCAGCGGTCTCTTCCCCTCAGGCTTCCCAACCAATACCCGATGCACACCTCTTGCCCCGCCCATCTCATTCTTCTCAACTTAATCACCCTGACAATACTGGGGGGAGGAGTGCAAATTTTTAAGTTCATCATTAAGCAGTTTTCTCCATGCCCCATCGTCTTCTCTCCTAGGCCCAAATATCCTCCTCAACACCCTATTCTCAAACACCTGCAATTTGTGTTCCTCCCTCTGAGCGAGAGACCATGTTTCGCACAAAACAACAGGCAAAATTATTAAGCTATATCAAATAAAACATACCATCTTGGCTATGGCTGCCTGCGATGAGAGTCCATTGGATGAGCCTGAAGGTGAGTGATGTTGAGAGGGTTTTGTGTATAACAAGGGAAGGGAAGATGATAACAGCCACACTTCTGACACCGGCAACATATCATTCTCCTTGTTTTCTGATGCTGGGAATACAATATCTCTCTCCAATACTGGTGTGTCCAGCTCCAAACCCTGCAGAACACAACAGAACTAGTCAAACAATTTCAGGGATAATTCAGTCAGTATACTAATTAGCTACGGGCTGGACAACTGGGGGTTCGATCCCCGACAGAGACAGAGTATTTCTCCTCTAGCCTCTGTGTCCAGACCGACTCTGGGGCCCACCCAGACTCCTGCCCAATGGGTACCGGGGTCCTTTCCCGGGGGTAAAGCGCGGCTGAGGCGTGACGCTGACCGCTCACCCCATCTAGTGCTGAGGTCAAGAATGAGTAGGAGCTATATCTCCTCTTCCCTCAAGCGCTAGATGGCGTGTAGTGGGACTGCTTTATTTTTTACTTTACAATTTAGTGTTTGACATTGTAACTTAGTTTAAAAATTATGTTTTGTGGAAAATGGCTGTGCCACAGGGTTTGTGAAACCTCTGTAAAGCGGCCCATCCACGTACGAGACTGGCTTGCGAGTCCGGCTCGGCTCAGGTTCCATTAAGCCAAACCCGTTTGTGAGTGGGGTGTCACGAGCCGAGTCTGCTATGCATGTGTGGTGAAATATTTCCGAGCCCGGCTCACGAGTCAAGATCGCCGAGCCAGACTCGTAAGTCAGACTCGTACGTGGATGGGCCACTTTAGTCTGTCTCTCACTGTATTAAAAACAAGAAAAAAATTAAGGAGCTAAGCGAGAAAAAATTTCCAGTATTGCAACATAAGAAAGAGAAAATTATTAAATATGAAAGCAATGCTGTATATCAGAATTTATAATAGTTATGTACTACATACTTACAGCACTGACAGGTTGTCCTGCTTCTCGGTATACCGTGGTCAACACATGGACAATGTAACGATGAATTCCAACAATCAGCCTTGGTGTGTGATGCTCAATCCAGTGCGACAAGAAGGTGACAGACACGAGTGATTTGCGGTGGAACTGAAAATCGTAATTATTGGATTTCTTGCATTAACCACATGCCTTACAAATTCTTTTATGGATTTGGTGCCAAGAAAAACTAATACTTTCGTTCACTTCTGTGACCTTTATACATAAACAAAGTAATATAGTCAGTCACTTTTCAAAACATTTCATAACATAAATTTTTCTGCGTATGTCTGAACAGCTTCATCATTATTCCAAATCATCTGGGATCCTGTTCAGATGTTTTATGTTATGTGGTAGACATAAATGTTTAACTTCCACTTCTTGTTGAGGATGTATGTAAACAGAACTGTCTGAATACAAGTCTGCAATAACTGTCACAACAAAGAGGGGTGATTTCACAGGACAGAAAATATTACATACCTCATTCCACTAGGTTGCAAGAAAACTGAAATTTAAATTAGAAGTATTTTTTCATTCTACAAACAGCTCATTCATAAAAAAGTCAACAATATGGATGAATGTTTGGTTCTATTTTGTGTCTGTGCTTATGTGAAACACAACTTAGTTTTCAACCACTCTTTGTACATGTGAATTTAAAATATAAACTTACAGCAGAATCAATAACAGATTTTAGGATGCTGGAGAGATGTTTGCAAGTTTGGGAGCCTTCTGGGTAGTGGTCCATAGATAACTTATATGCCTGGAGTAGCAGATGACAAAAATTATCTTGACTAATGTCACTTCCTTCTGCATACATCTGTAAAAGGAATACATGGTTCACTAATCCCACACTTAAAACAAGGTTCAAACTACATCACAAGATCATTTTTGCAAGTTCATCTTATATCACTGAATGACAACAGGCTGGTTTCCGAGTGTTAATTTTTCCCAAAAGGTTATTAATCTTAACATTCTCTCTCACAAAGAAGTCTATATTTGCGTCGCCAATCTTCGACTATTTGAACATAGCAAGGTACCTTTCACAGTGCTGTTGATCATAAAATAGTACCTACCTGATAAACAATTTCACAGATTTTGAACATCTAAAGCATGTAACACAAACATATATACATATTTATCTTTTCTCTGTGTTCAGAATATATACACATAAGAGTACTGATAATGGCAGCATACAATTCACATTCCTCTGAGAATATACTTTCTATTCAACCATTACACTAAATGTGGATTTACATTATTACTTAAAAATTCTCTGATAGCAACTTATAAAATACACATATTGTTTAAGAAATACATGATTCCAAATAAACTTTAACAAAATCTTCAGTGCTCTTACCTTGACATATAGTTCAGTCTGTTGACTATCAACAATAATGCCTAGGAATTTTTCTGCCTGTTGTTTGAAGACTGATGAACTAATCCACTCATGTTTAGTGATGCCAGCAGAGGAATGGAAAAACTTAAACAGCCTTTGTGACAGGTCAGGATAACGTGGGAAAACATAGTTCTGTAGAAATAAATGGTAACTTTTACTACTACGTGGTACTGAACATACTATATGCAATAACTGAGATTCTGCTGTATTCACTTTCATAGATTTATATAACTTACAGTGAAGGCACGACAAGTTATTCCTTGGACAGAATCTTCTTCCAAACTTTTCTGGGCAAGTATCTAAGAAAACAAAGGTTACAAATCAGAACCTTGTGGATGACATTTCATTAACATGTGGTCCAGCCCAGACAACCTTGAAAAACATATGCTTCAGAGTTCCCTCTTAATATCCGATTTTGTAATTATTGTCTTGTACTGTGTGGTTCGATTTTAACACTGCTTAAGTAAATTCCAACGACTTCAACGTTTCGTCAACTATTCGTACAGGAACATTTTACAGGCATTCTGCAACGCCACCTGATGTTCGTATCCATTATCTCGTTATCATACGCCAATTTATGCCGTGCTAAATCTGCATATTAGCTTGTTTCGCTGGCTGTTTTATTAATCATAATGCGTATAACTGAAATCTGACATCAATTATTCATGCCTTCACATAACGGTAAAACAAAGCCGTTAAGTTTTGCAAATGAACACGTACTATGCGAAAGTGTTAGGAACGTCACAGATGTGTGAAAACTATTCTACCTTTGCTAATTTGTCGATAGGAATGAGTTGGGTGGGAGTTCTGTCGACATTGTCAGCTACAGAAGGAATTCTACCAAATGAATTTCTTCTTGATCCATCTTGACTATGATGATTACCCATTTCCCCCCGCTCAACACTCACCAACCTCACACATTGAAAGGAAGATTCCAACTGGCACAGGAAAATACAATAGCGCCACTCGGCGTTTCCATTTTGAATTGTTTACGAGGACAAATCTACGGATGAGAAAATCTTTGCTACACGTAACTCGCACAGAGTTATGTGGCAAACGTAGTGCGGCCGGCACGGAGGTTAAAACGGTACTACAATTACTGTACTTGAAATGAAAAATACGAGATCGGTAACATGCAAACACAGAGATATGAACTGAAACAATATCAGTCAAAAACCTAAAGAGAAGGATATTACTGAAACAGATCTTCAAGACGTAGAGCGGATGAATGAAAGAAAAGAATTACAACTTAATGAAAAAAATAACGTTCCAAAGACAAGCGAAAATTCCTTTCCTTCCTCAAACCTGACCATTAAGTTAGCTCTTACTCAATTTATTTTTCAGCCTCCACGCCCTAATACGCTTTCCAATTACATTGCTAAACGAATATGCTTCATCAAATTGTCCCCTCAGTCCTCCGAAGTGGTCCATCTTCCCTCCCACGCGAATTCTTTCAGTTTCATTCAATGTGTGGCAAGTGTTCTAAAACGAATTAGAGATGTGGCAATTATAACAGTAATAGCAAATCAATATTACCTCAATTTTTGACAATCACTCTTCTGCAGCCACTGCATCCAAATGTCAGATCTGTCACTAATTTTATATAAGAAAATTATGTGAACCATCTATTGTCATCACATATCGCGATCCTTACACATCTGTTTACAAAAAAATAACTTTCGTCGGATTTTGTCTTACTAGCCGTTCCAAATTAAAGTTTTGTCGCTCGCAGAGTTCGCTATATCTTTAACAAAACCTTTAATAACACTGGAACTTACACCTTCATACAAAAGCACGTATCTTATTTCCCAAAATAATCAATATAAATTAAAATGAGTTCTCAGACTTTCAGTACACCCGTCCATCTTTTTTACTGTCTCGTTTCTCTGGGGGAAAAAATGATTTAAAAAAGATAATGACCACAGAGAAACCGCTATATTTGGGACTTCACTTTTTCTTTACACTATTACACACACAAAGATAATTGGTTTATCGAGCCCTTTTGACACCTGCTGGCCCTTGACTTCGCGACGTTATGTGTTCTGGCTTTCCTCAGCTCTAATCCTGAGTAATTTCCCACGATATTGGTGTGAAGGATAGATCACAGGCTTTTACATTCATTATACTATGTACCTAGGGCATGGATGTGCTTTTATTCATGGTTATAAACTGCGCAAGATTTATAATTTTACCTCTAATCTAAATACTAAATGGTGGCATACCCTCCACACCATAACGGCTCACATGGTTACTGGCACCGATACCACTACAACTTGGTCCTTCAGGTCGGCAAATGTTTCTTACGATGGAATATCACACGGGCGGACTTGTAGTGGCTTGGACGATGACAAATACTGGGCATATCTATTAGCTTTGAGTCCAAGGTATGACAGAGAATACCATGAACGTGTGCCCAACCCAACACGAAAGAATAAACCAGCTTCGGTAGCTGAAGCCCACATGTAGCTTCCTGCTTTTGTGCTTTCACCCACCCACGGACGAAAGAGCATACGATCAATACAACACCATAGCGCAGTGGAGATTCCGCGCAAAAGTGAAAGGGAAACCCAGTAGCAATTCGTGCTAGCTGCCGATGTAAACGAGGTCGAGTTCTGACATCGTGTTTGACGCGATACAGCACCCATAAAACTGTATTTTATACATCATTTTACACAGATTCACGGGGAATGAAATCGACTGGTATGGCAACTACTCGTGGTACCCAGAAGAAAGTTCAGCAGCAGCTGCAGCAGAAAGATATGGAATATCAAGAGAAGTTGAAACTACTGAACGAAGAATTAATGTCCTTTTATCAGTACTGTCAGCAAGCAGGTTTCTCAGAAGCAGAAATGGATACAATTGTTGCTCCTTTGGTGGCAACTTTGAGGAAACGACTAATAAAGAAATTGGCCAAAGTTTTCGGTGCATTGTTCACGATTGTTGCACTATTTTACTGTGCTGCACAGTTAGGTTCAGTCTCCATGCATTTAGCTGCGCTGGGGCGCCTCTTCATGATTAAGGCAAGTACATGATTTCTTTTCATTCTGCTCTATATCGGGCTATTATAATGACACCATAATGGCTAAGAAGTATGAGCCATGGAAGGGACATTTGGTTCATTGTCGCGTGCGTAAGAAAGTTGAAAAAAAAAATGCACCCATTGTCGTCGCCATGTTAATATGTCCGTCTGTCAGAGTGCAGCAACTCGAGATGGTTACAGGGATCATTTTTTGTTTCTTTCAATGCAGTAAAGTTTCTAAACATGGGATACTTAACATCTGATTGCAGTGTAATTCCTTGCCCCCCCTCCCAATGGGTGCAACTCAAGAAGTCAATTTAAATAAGGGCTTGCATAATTAAAATCAACATTTCCTTTATGTGAAAAAATGTGATCCCAAAACTTTATTTGTGGAGAAACAGACATAAAGTTGTCTCAATTCAGAGTGAATTCACATTCTTGAATCAATTACAAACCTCTTGAAAATGTAAAATATTACAATATAATCACAATACCAGAAAGCAAATCTCTCTCAATCTGAGGTCATCAACAGATGAACCAGTTCACAGTCCAAAATCTGACTTCCCACTGAAAATCCTATATGCAATTTGTTAAATCCAAATAATCCAAAAGTATTATGGTAATAAGCAGAGTTAAATAAAACTGAAAACAATGTTCACACTATAAAAATGTTAACGAAACTGAAGTTTACTGTTTTGTGGGATGTAGCACCAAGAAGTTTGCCATTTCTGAGGTACTTGTTTCCTCCATCATTGCCCTGACAATACATGCAGCAAGGACCTCTGAAACATTGGTAATCTTCTACCAGACTACATGGCACAACCACCCAGGAGACAGCCATTTTCAGTCAAGGGAAGTTGAGAACACAACTGTTCCTACTACTCTCATTTTACCTGATACTACTTAAGTTGTGAAGTTGGTACATTATCTCCGAATAATTTACGGGCATGCAAATAATTAAATTAAAGAATAGGTAAATAAATGAATGGACAATATACACAAATGAACCGGGATAGCTCAGTCAGTATAGTGACTACCTACGGGCTGGACGACCGGGGTTCGATCCCCGACGGGGGCAGAGGATTTTTCCTCTAGCCTCTGAATCCAGACTGGCTTTGGGGCCCACCTAGCCTCCTCTACAATGGGTACCGGGGTCCTCTCCCGGGGGTAAAGCCGGCCGCCGGCCGGGGCGTGATGCCAACCACTCACCCTATCTAGTGCCGAGGTCAGGATAGAGTAGGAGTTATACCTCCTCTCACCCCAAGCGCCTGTATGGCACGTAGCGGGACAAACTTTACTTTACAATATACACAAATAGTTAAGCTGATAAATAAGTAAATTCATTAATGAAATAAACTATTGCATTGTACATTATACATCTGTTGTAGACTCCATGTTTGTTTTAGATGTTACCATTCTGGGACTGGACATCCATGTTTTATGAGTACTGCCTGGTGTCTAATCCATTCTTTGGGGAGTACACACTTACTGAGGAGGACTGTGTTGTAAGTCACAAAGATACAAAAAGAAGCTACAGAAATTGTCAACGTTAGGTAGCATTAGATATCGGAATTTTTAGGAAAATTCTGCACTTACACGGAATACTAGTAAATGTAAAATTTTAGGACATATAAGTGATTCTTTTAAGTGCACAAAATTAAATCAGCAGTTCACTAACTGAACTGAGTGGCTGCATTCCTGTTAGATCATTTGGGTGCTTTCACTGATGAAGCCTGGTTTAGACAGTGGTTATAACTGCTAAATATGGGGCTCAATATATAAATAAATATATATGCATGCAGTTACAGAAAATAAGCAATGTTAAGTGTGAATGTTTTAAATTATCATTACAGCATCGACCTTTCTGTATAGGGAGTATGCATGATGTACTGTTTAGAATTTCATTTTCCTTAATGTGGCCACACACTGTACATTACCAGCCATGAAAAAATAACTACTGACAACCAGTGTTCTAGATCAGTGGTATTCAACCTTTTTCGTTTGCGTACCCCCATATATAATTTCTCTTAAACTTTGTACACCCAAAGTTATACATACTATATAATCTACATCCAAAATAAATTAAATAAATTACATCCAAAATAATATATTAAATAATAAGTTTTAAATAAGAAAAAGGAAAATCAAGCTATTAAATAACAAATACATTATTGTCTATCATATAAAAATTAAGAAAGGAACAATGGTATTTTAGCAAAGCAAAATAATATGTTTAAATATTTTATCAATTATTAATTAATGTGGTTCAGACCTGTTAATGAGATGATTGAGCTTGTTTCTACCGCCCAGATAAGAATTACATAAAGGAGAGAGAGAAAAAATGCTGCTCCCAAATCGAATGTCCTTACATCCAGTTCTCCTGTGGCTAACCCTAAATCTGGCCCTGATTATTCAGTGTTTATCATAATTTTTTTTTTAAATTTCACGTACCCCCAGGGGTACCACTGTTCTAGATCATTGGATATTATATTTTCTGGGTCTGTATCAAAAAACCAATGGCCACTAATTTAAAAAGTGCATGATCTCAGACCAAACAAATTGAGTGATGAGCTAACCCTCTTACATGGGAGAGAGAAATTTTTTCCACTACTACTTATTCAAATATTCCTTTTTTCCCACAATTTTCATTAAACAAACAAATTTTATTTCCTCGAACAGTCATGTGAAGCTTTGGAACACGTGGACAGACTTGGAGGTGTGGCATATGAACAACTTCTTGATGGATATTTGAACCGAGATGCCCCACTCATTGTGGTGGATGCCATGGAGTCATGGCCAGTTATGAACACAGACGACTTCTGGTTTGACAACATTACCCAAGTCAGTTACTGCAATACTTTCAATGACATAACAACAAATTTAATTATTAATTATTAAATATACCAAACAGTATGTTATTGCAGTGGTTCTCAAATGCTACTGCTGCAGAATGCTTTTGGTAATAAAATATTTTATCAGAACCCCAAAAAACAAGAACTTATGTGCCTTTATGTATTCATTTTTAATTTACAATCCAAAATGTGGAAAGTTTGATTCCTGCATTTTTCTAGTTTTTGTGTTTTATAGTTCAACAAAATTACTGCAATCTACTTTTATATTAATTCTGCAGCATAAATAATTTAAATTCTTCACTTCATCAAAATTATATTGTGTTATTTTTTACTTATATTTTCTTTTCATCAGCAATCAATTATGTCAATTTGAGGCAGAAATTTCATTATTATATTCTATAATTCATAAATGGCTGTCTCAAGATTAAAGTATAACTTTTTTTTAAAGTTTAATTTTTATGTGGTAATTCTAGATAAAAAAAGATAACTCTGCAGTTCAGATTGTATTGATTATAATGTCATGACTTTTTTATTTATCTGACATTAGATTACACTAAACACTTAGAAATGTGTTCTTTGACAGTTATATCTACAGGATGAGAAACTGATGGACACTGTGCCATGTATTCTTACGACCAACCTACGAACTGGATCTTCTGATCTACATGCATTCCTTAAGCGCATTCATAGCCCAAAAGTTGATAAGTGGTTTGTCCATTGGTGAGTCTTAAAGAATATTTTACTTTCAGTATGAATATACAAATGCTCAGATTAATAATGAAATATATATTCGATCATTCACTTTTTGATCAAGTCTTGTATATACTTAACATTGTCCTGTTCATTTACTTACACCGTGCAAAATTCACATGTCATGAGTTAGCAACTTCTAAAATTCATACTTAGTCATATTGCACGATTTTATCTCTTTAAATTGACATCAAATATGTGCAGAAAAGCTCAGTTTGTATTTGTTATCTTCGATGCCACAATAAATGAATTATCATATATTTTTACATGAAACTGAATACTGCTGAAGAATATTTTATAAAATTTAAATTCTCATTCACTTGTTTTATCGTGAGCCGGCGTAGCTCAGTCAGTATAGTGACTAGCTACGGGCTGGAAGACCGGGGTTCGATCCCCGATGGGGGCAGAGGATTTTTCCTCTAGCCTCTGCGTCCAGACCGGCTCTGGGGCCCACCCAGCCTCCTCTACAATGGGGTAAAGCCGACCGGGGCGTGATGCTGACCACTTACTCCATCTAGTGCCGAGGTCAGGAAAGAGTAGGAGCTATCCCTCCCAAGCACCTACATGGCATATAGTGGGACAGCTTTACTTGTTTTATCAACATTTCACTATGTGGAGGTTTTATTATAGGTTTGTCCATTAAAAAAAATCCCATTATTTCAAAAACCACTAAACCAGCTGACCTTCATGTTCTGAAAGTACCACCTTATGGAAGTTACAAACACAATGAATGGTTCAGACATCTCTAATGATGGCAGGTATACAATTTAAATAGGGTTCTATGATTCTTAATCTTCTGGGATGTTGTACTGAGAAGTTTGGTAGAAGTTTACTGATATTTCAGAGACAGTGAGCACCTCTTTAATGTCAGTAAACTTCTTCCAAACTACACAGCACAACATCCGACAAGACAGTTACCTTCGTATTCGGCGCCATGAAAACATTAAATTTCACAAAAGAATTTTTATTAATTTTCTACTACAGCATTGTTACCATAGTAGCGGAACTTCAAATTGCAGTATGTATCCGCAACTGACCGGCCAAGGCGTAAGTTTTGAGAATTATAACATTATTAATTTAAAATGGAATGAGAACTGTAGATGTAAAGGAAATCCCGCTAATCTTTCCTTTCAGGCAGAACTGTGATATCCATGCTGTGAAAGCCCTGAGGAAGTTTTATCAACGACCATATTTTCTGTCTAGTTCTGTATCTCCAGCTCACTTCAACTGGGTTCTCATGTCTTCTGACTACAATACGAAAATATATAAGAAAGTAAGTATTGTTATGCTTATAAGATTGCATTAAGTCAATAAAGTTATGTTTTTAAGGGCTCTTTCATTCTGGTGTTACTAGCATCTTTAGGGAATAAAAGTAAATACATTTGTTATTAACTGACACAAGTAACTACAGATTTTCTGCAAACACGGGCAGCTTTTGGTATGTATAGTTGCTTTCAAAATTGTTTATGGTTAGTCATGTGCTCAGTATGATTTATGCTGTAATTTTTTGTGATAATTTTCCATCTTCCATTCTTGAGTGCATTGTAAAATATAAATTACGTATTAAATTGAACAGTTCCTTATACAATGAGGTCGTCTTCTGGGTTCTTGCATCATGTAGTCTGGTAGAAGTTTACTGGCATTTCAGATGTTCTTGCTGCCTCCATCATAAGGGTGATGATGGAGGCAGCAGGTACCTCTGTAATAAATGTTAACTTCTACCATACTGCTGCTGTGAGAACCTGATATCTCAGGATTTTTTTACACATTTGAATTAAATTTTTACTACAAGTTGAGTACCTGTTAGAATGGATTCGGTTTATATTCATTATCCCAAAAAATGAATGGAAGATGAGATAAGTCACTATTACGACAAAGAACATCATGAGGGCTGTGTGTAGTCTGTAATGAGTACAACTTTCCACTAATTTTATTCAAAAAATGAATGATCAAAATGGATTTAGATCTGATACTGAAATTATTTCTAAATTGAATTTTTATAATACTTTAACATAATTTTCAAATTTTTGTCCTTCGTAAATTAATATAATTTGATGTTAATGTAAAAAATTTATGTTAATAATGCAGGTAGAACTGGATTCAGGACTTATAATGTTGGCACAGTTGAGAGGTTCAACGGCGTTCCGTCTCACACCACATAACCCCTGTAATACATCCTGTCCCGAACTCCTGGGAGATTTACAAGAGGGAGAAATGTGTATGTACCAGCACTGATTATTATTCTGCCTTGCTAGCTGAAGAGTGTTGTCACTGTTACAGATGTTCTGTTTGTTAATATAATTCAGTACATTGATTACAAATAAAGTTTACTGATGCATTTTTTGCACTGCTTGTATTTCTATATAGCATTTTACAAGCAAGCCTAACGTGACAGCATGAGTTAATCAAGCAATTGCCTGACGTGGCACAAATGTAGATTCAATGCATTTTACGTCTTTCGTCTTCGTTAAATGGATATCAATTTTTATATATCTACTTTTCAGTACTTGCAGCTATGTAAAGTAAGTAAAGCGTCCCACTAACGCTATGTAGGCGCTTGGGGGGGAGTGGAGGTATAGCTCCTACTCTTTCCTGACCTCGGCACTAGATGGGGTGAGTGGACAGCATCCCGCCCCGGCCGGCTTTCCCCCCGGGAAAGGATCCCGGTACCCATTGTAGAGGAGGCTGGGTGGGCCCCAAAGCCAGTCTGGACGCAGAGGCTAGAGGAAAAATCCTCTGCTCGATCGAACCCCAGTCATCCAGCCCGTAGCTAGTCACTATACTGACTGAGCTATCCTGGTTTGCAGCTATGTGACCCTGTTAAACAACAGCGTAAATAAAACTATGAACTGCAGTGGCATAAAAATGCATGAGGAAACACGGCATACTCGTGTCTGGACTGAATGTCTACAATCGTACAGTGCAAATTCCGTAACTCGTTCCGATAAGAAGGAATAAATAATGATTAATGTGATTTGTTTGTAATTTCTTGCAGTGGTATTCACGAACTTCATGTGGACATTCGAATATTTCCCAGGACGTAACCTGGATAATGTTGCCATTCTCACTGAGACAGTTTGGGAAGAAGGAACTACATAGAACACCTTCAACTGGACTATTTATACATAATTATTATAATTAAAGTTACTGTGTAGTATAATATATTCAGTACCACGGTGTGAGACATTTGTAGTCATACTAAATGTATAGAAAAGTGAATCTGAGAGATGAATTGTCTGTCACACTAATTCCTATGTCGAAGAAA